ACGGTGAAACACAAAAAATTCTGTTATCTTGTATTTTCCATGTTTAACTGTTTCACTCACTTTTCACCATGTTCTGTATCTTAATCCACCTATCCCCTTTCACTGTCATCGTTGTTGCGTTGGCACCATGCTTGTTTTTAAGCCGGTGATAAATATATAAATATATAAGCCACAACAGCGGTTACGATCTGACAATAGAGCAAATGTTTAACAGAGAAGTGAGAGGAGTACAAACCATCCCTTCGGTGATGGAAAGGCTTAACAGGATAGCTTCTTGTGGGGTGCTCCAAATTATGGCACCACCACCAGATCCCCATCAAGTTATATTAGTTCGGGACAAAATACACAATGCTACATAAAATGAGGTTGATTTTTTAGAACGTTCAGGCAGTTTGAGAACTCTCAAGTTTATGGCACAATAAGAGGATCTAGGTCGGCATTTTCTTGCAAGTAGCATGAAAGGGACGTTTTTGGTGACACAAAAAGACGTTGTCAGGCACAAAAGGAAGATTCCCTTACCTGTAGCCTGTTCCCCACGCTGTTCGCGCCAAGCCAATAGAACAGCCAATGCCCGATCTCGGTCAGTACGTAGGTCAGCCGCAGTAATTCCTCCCAGACCACCTGCATTATCTCCGCGTGTCGCTTGCCAATGCGGTTCATTCGCAGAGATCCACGACACGAGCTGTTCCACTGTGCAATTCGCATCCAATTGAGACTCGGGTAGAAGTATACCGACCAGGTGCGGCCAGTCAGACCCAATCTCGCCAGCCACTTGCAACAAATCGAGCTGACTTCGGGCAATTACATCCGCAGCATACACTGAGAGCAAAAATAGCAGATAAGTAATGAGGGAGTGAGGGGTTCAGGTGTCAAACTGGTTTACATTTTCCACTCAAAACAAGAACTCATTATGCACGAGAAAATCCTTTACCTTTCTTTCAGTTTCACAGTATGAGCGCGAGAGAACAAACAGAGGATACATTATGTATTCTACATGACTCTCTGTGTCGCTAAAAGCACGATGTGAACGAGGATTATAGTCCTCGGAGGGTCGATAGAATCCTTTCGTGTCTTGATCCACCAGAAAGGTATCTGTCTACTAGGGTTTGTTGAAGCTGCCACCATTCGATTATACAAGATCGATTTATCTAAACAGACCGGATTCGTGGTTAG